GGGGGGGGGGGGGGGGGGAGATGTCAATCAGCCCCCGATCGAGAGGAGAGGAGTTTAACGAACTATCTATCCGCGCGCGCGCGCCTGCGGTTTAAAGGGGTTCCATCCTTTGGGGGCAAAGAAGAATCGGTTTTAATTTCGTGGGAACAAGGGGGGGGGGAATAAAAAAATAAAATGTTACCTTTCTGTGTTCGCTGGCGCTTTTGGGTTTATCTGGAGTTTGGCTGGAGCTGGCCGGCGCTCCGGCAATCGGCGAGGCGGTGGGTTTTTCCATCGTGTCGGCTGGCATTTTGGCAATCTCGTGAATTTCCACCACCACCACCACCCCACCTCCAAGAAAAGAGAAGTGGAAGCGGAAGGCCGGCCAGGGAAAGGCGGATCAAAGGGCTCTATAACTTGGCGGTATATCCGACGGGAAGCTGCTTGCTTTTCTTTTCCAAGATTGAAGAGGGCCGGCTTCCACGAGACAGAGAGGGAGAGAGAGAGAGAGCTGGCGTTTTGCAAAAAAAAAGAAGAAGGAAGAAGCGATCGCGCCCCGGCAAGTGGCAAAACACCTCCCGGCCCCCGCTCCGGCTCCCGTTGCTTTGGCTGCAGCGCGCCGCTCCCCCCTGGGTTTATATAGCCGACGGCAGCTCCCAATTCGTGTGAAACCTTCTCCACATTCTTTCCCACACTCCCGTCCGCCAATGGGAAGCGGGACTCTCCCCGTCGGGCTCGCCGATTGGACGACGCCCCCGCGAGCTGTCAGTCACGCGCCAAGAGTTGTCCCCCCCCGCGTCTCCCCCCCCCCCCCCCCCCCTCCTTCCCTCTCTTCCCCCTCCCACTCCGCTCCAATTTATTGCTTTGCTATTTCTCCCCCCCACACACACACCTTCTTCTTCTTCTTCTTGAACTTAGGTACCTGGGCGCCACTATGCAGGTCTATTAGGTACGGATCGCTAAGCTCGGGCTGCACCTCCTTGGGCAATCCAAGAAGGCGCGAGGCTCTCTCCCTCTTCCCCACCCCCACACGCCCCAGTCCTCCTCCTCCTCCTCCCCCACACCCCCAACCCCAGGGGGGGGGGGCTGCATCTCGGGGGTCGAACTCTCTGTGCCCCAGTTAAGGAGAATCGCGCGCTACCCGTGCTGGAATGCCTGGATCCCAATTGCGCTTTAAAAACAAAAAATCAGGAAGGCTGGGTGCTTTTTTGTGGGGGGGGAGGAGGGGGGGTTGGAGAGAAAGAGGTTCTCCCCAAATGGGAGGGACGTGGAGAAGACCCCGATTTTAGGATGTGCCTTCCCTGTATTGGATTCTGCTCCAATTATTATTAGGTGGTGATTGGCTTTTTTTTGCAATTGGGTGGGCAGGTTGATTGTATTTCTTGGCTCTCTTTCGCCCTAGCGGCTCTTGGGCAGGTGTCCGGTTTTCAATCATGAACGGTATCGGCGGAGGGTGGGGGGTGCAGCTGTTGGTTGAAGGGTCGGCCGGCTTCCTGCTCCCCCCCCCCACCTGAGCCCACCGAAGACCGCTCAACATCAGCGCCGGTGGGAAAGCCGTCGTATTGAACCCCCAGGTAATAATATACCACATTCCCTCCACCGAATCGCTTGGCCCAGGGCAAGTGAGCTCTTGTGCAGGACAGTTTCTACGGATCGTCTCTTCTCCCCTTTAGTTTTCTTGGCTTGACCTGCCCCTTCACTCGGTTCCAATCCCATCCCCCTGGCATCGGCTTTCCAAAGCAAACCAACCTCGGTGCTTTGCACCCACCCACCCACCCACCCTTCCTTCCTGGCACCGCGCATCTGTTTGCAACGCCGTTCCCGGTTTAGCCAGAAGTGAAGCCCCACGGAGGGGACCCCTAGAGCTCGTCTTGGGGAGCTGAACAAGACCCAAAGCAAAACCTCCTTTTGGGGGGGGGGGGGGGGGCGGCGGGAGGCGGGGGGGGAAAAAAACAGGAGAGGTGCTCCCAGAAGGGGATTTGACTCGCGCTTCCCTCCAGCTGTTTTGCAAAAGCGCACACATGCAGGGGAAGGGAGAGTAAATAAATAAATAAAAAATAAAATAAAACAAACAAATAAATAAATAAAAAGGAGGGATGGAACAGCAAAGAGCAGCAGCAGCAGCTGCTGCTGCCCGGCACGCGAAGCCCTGCCAGGCTGACAGCCAATCGGGGCACGGCTGCAAGCCAACCTGCTTCCCATTGGATGGCAGCCTTCGCAGCTGTCAATCAAGAAGCCTTTTCTCTCTCTCTCTCTCTCTCTCCCCCCCCTCCCTCCCACCCCCAGCGGCTAAAACAGCCGCCAAATGTTGTCGTGCCTCCACCCTGCGAGACGGGCCGGGGCGCGCGGGCGCGCGTTCGCTGGCGCGCGCGCGGTTGCAAGCTGGGCTTTCCTCCTGCCCTCCTCCTCCTCCTCCTCCCTTTCCCTTCCCTTTCCCTTCCCTCCCGGCTCGCCGGAGCACGTGCCAAAAGCGCTTCTTGGCTTCCTGCGCCGCGCACGCACGCAGTCACACATGCACCCGGCAGCCCCCGGAGTTGGTTAGGGAGGAAGCGCTTGGGGTGGCACGGCTCCAGCCGCGAAAGCTCCCGGCGGTTTGCAAAGCTAGACAGGGAAGGAGGAGAAGGGAAAGGAAAAAAGAAAAAAAAAAAACCCAGCAGCCCAGGTCCTGGGAAAACTCCGCCCCTGCGCCTTATTATTTATTATTTATTATTGTCCAACCTTCAGTACGGAACGAAGATTAAGCTTTTGCAAAGGGGAGGCCGGGTTGCGGATGTACGGGTGGGGGAAAAAAATAAATAAAAAGGATCTGAGGATTGCGTTTATACAAGGCAATAAATTTGGTCGAGGGTTCACTTTAGGTGGGAGTTTTGTGGAGGGTCGCCACTAAGTATATGTTGTCCCAACCTCACAGTTTGATCTGGGTTTTTTTTTTAATGGTTCAATGCACGGGGAAGACTTAGAAAATAATTTAGTAAACCAGGGGATCCGGTTAACCTGACTAGTTAGGCTTAGTTAGAGGCAGGTCTGGAAATGGCTCTGGTTAATTGCTGCTAGCTATGGCATTAACTAGAACTAGCAGAAATCAAGTCCTGGTGTCCTATGGTGTTTTTGTTTTGTTTTTTTGTTTACTGTGCCTCTTGTTTATTCAGTAGATTTAACCAGATCGTTGTAAACTTAGTAATTGCATTTGGTCAACCTCTCAACAGTTGATTAAATTTTCCATTGGTTTAGTATGTCAGGAGAACCAAGACAATTCAGTTGCCTTGTGGATTGGTATTTTATACGAACCCAGAAAATAAAACTCAATTTTTAGGGCAAATATACTGTGATTTGTGAAACCCAGGACAACCACCAGGTGGCGAGATAGAGTGAAGTTTTCCCCTGTCCTTAATTGCACTCTTGAGGATCTTTAATATATTATTTTATTCCTTTAATGTCTTACACGGGGAGAATAACTTATTGGCAATTTTTCTGAATACGCCTTCGTAAGGACATAATCGAGCATAGAAGTAGGCAGGTGTCGGGCTCATAAGAAAAGTGATGTTTTTTGCCCAGAGATCCACCAACCAGAACCAGTAGCAAAATATACTCAGTATTAAGAAGTGAGGAGCACAAGGAGGGGTTTTGCAGAACCAAATACATCTGGGGTAGCAAGGAAGACCTATTACCCCAGTAGTTGCATCTATATTTTGTTGGCTCCAAAACCTACCTGTGAATATTTATGCTTAACTGGGGCACCAGTAAGCACCGATCCTGTGTCATGTATTGGTTCGACCCCTTCGCTCCAGCTCTTCTTATTCTAGACCTCCCTGATAATCCAATCTGCAGGCACAACCCAAAGATTAAGCCAGGGGAAGAAAAAATCACACACCCCCTCCAACAGTCTTAGCCTTGTATGTGGTTGTATATTGGAAGAATGTCTGGACATTTTCATCCTCCTCCTCCTCCTCCTCCTCCTCCTCCTCCTCCTCCTCCTCCTCCTCCTCCTCCGTTTCTTCCTTTTTGGGAACAATTATTGCCTGAGAAATGGCTGCAGGGAGAATGAGAAAGAGAGAAGGTTAACAGTGCCACCTTTGGGCCATATTGCAAAATTATATGATGGGTAATATGATCACATTTATATGTTGGCTTGAGAACAAGACTGCACCCAATGAATGCACCCAGTCCTGGTGCATTTTCTACGAGTAAGTCCCCTGCAAGCTTTCCAAGAATCTCTCAAGTCAAGCCTACCAAGAAGCGATGTATTTTATGTAACAAGACATTTTCACACTCTCGATCCGGCTCCTGGCCTTTGAGAAACCTGTGTTTTAGTATTTATAGACAACAAATTCGTTATTTCTGAATGGGGGTTTAAATGAACATGTAAGGAAAGAGAATCCAGACCAAAGAACTTAACAACCAAAATCTGTTGAGGGGGTCAACAGTCAAGAAAATGGTAGTGACAGGAAACGGCACCGAGGCCTTCATAGAATGGGTATTTAGTGTATTTATGGCCTCGGTTTTTTTCTTCCCCAAAATGAAATTCAAAACAACACATATTAGTCCAGGGAGCAGATCTAAGACATAAAATCAGTTCTTGGATTTTATCCATGGAAGGAGAGTCCATTTTTTTTGCCTTGTCGAAATGCTTTCAAATCCTCTTGGGAGTTTTCTGAACTTAGTTTATGGCAGCGAAAGTATTGCCATCTTAGTTTATGGCAGCGAAAGTATTGCCATCTGTGGTTTATTTCCCAACTCTCCCTGTGATGTGCTCTCTTACTTGCCCTGAAAGAGCCCCAAAGGAGAAATCCCTTTGTTATTTCCACCCTTAGCTAATGAGGACTAGGAAGTTATGGCTAGCTAGATGGAACAATTGCCTATTGTTCCAGTTCAGATCCTTTCTAACTCGAATGTGCTCACCCCAAGCACATTTAGATCAAGAATTAGCTAGAATTGTAGATTTTTTCTTCTTCTTCAAATCCTGATTCTTGGAAAAACCAGGTGTTGAATTTGGGAATGCAGATGTTCTTTCATTGATATGCATTCCATCGTTGATTCTTCCTGAGTTCCATATCTCCAGACTACATGGCTGTTTTCCTCCCATTCCAGAAAACCTCTTCTGGTTGATTTCAAGAAATCAAGGGGCTTAGATGCCCTACCATCTTTTCTAGCCATCTGGCCCCTGCAGATAAGAAGGAACATGCCATTAACCGAGTTATTTGTGTTTGGATTATGTTCTTCAGAACACAAAACACCTCCTTTCCCTTAGAAAACTCCCCACTTCTGTTCTTTGATCCTTAAGCCTAACTTTATTAGAGTCAAACTTTTTTG